TCCAAGGCATTAGTTTCTCCAAAGTAATGGAAATGAACCCTTTCCTCCTGCTACGGATACTTCCGAATCTAATCCATTTCCTGCTCTCTGTCACTCCAATACTTTGACAAACTGCCGATCTTTTCTGACAACTTAAGGGCGCAAAACAGTGTTAGACTGTGCCGACACGCAATAATGCTCTTTTTTCCTTCATTTAGAGATCACATCCATCCTTTTAACTGATCCTCGCCTAAACTGGTCTACACTTCTATCATTACAAAACATCGTCTGGTAAAAAAACTTCCCGAATATGAACCTTATTCTGTTTTGTCCCGGATATGCCTTCCTTTCTCATTTCACTATCAAATGTTCCCTAACTTTAAAACACTTAGTGGTTTTAAACTGATCTTTAGCTCATCCGCTCATACTTCTTCTCCTTTCCTTATTTTCTAATGCTTTCTATCTTTCTGTTTAGGGTTTCTTCCACGTGTGTGTTTCCTTCCCCCCCGTGGGGTTTGGGGGTCCCGCCCTCGTGGGCAATTAACTCTCCTGTATGCGCCTTTTTTCCTTCTTATTTTTCTTGCCATAGACTAACTCCTTACTAAACTATCTGCTGCCTGCCACTACACTTGCTACGACTAATTTCTACTGTTTTCGCTAACACTCCGCTCTGTGACTCTTGTGTCAATAACCACTACCTACTCCCTTCTTATTACCAACTGCCACTTGTTGAAGTACTACTACTACTGCTGCTGCTTTTCCACTATACTACTAACTACCCTTTCACCTATTATCTCTGCCAATGCTACTGCTACTGCTACTACTATCTCTGATTTTCCACCCCCGCCTCCTTAATATATATATATATATATATAATATTATATATATATATATATATGCTATTTATATACAAACAATGGCAGACAGGTGAACTTAACAAGCAAGACAAGTCACGGGGGTGAAAGCTTTAGCTCAAGTACTTTAACACTTCTCATTGTGTCATGGTAGCCGTGCAATGTTGCAAAACAGCAACAGGAAATTGAGGGAAAGTTTTTTCAGAGTATGGAACGGGAGTGGTACACGCCAGTTCTCTGAATGAAGGGGGCCCGGCGGAAGCCAACCACCCACCGGTTCCTGTCACCACCTTCTGAATGGGGGTCATGGGCAGGCCTGCACAAGTTGTAGACATATAGGAAAATTCTAAAATATTTATAGCCACCCTAAGCTTCTAACCGCTAACAACAGTCACGTGACATAAGAGATTACTAATTATAGTGGATAATCCGCATACAGATTGCACTATTATGAGCCATCTTCTAATTAAATATGAAATAAATGCCCTCATTTTGTTCAACTGGCAATATCCAGGGCCAGGAACCGTCTAGAATATTCAGAAATATTCTTAGTGTCAATTAATAAGCCTGTAATGGTTTCTGATCACTTCTATTCCGATTTTCTATCGTATATTAACTAACAATTCCTTAATTTTCGTGTTACCGCCACTGTGTATCAGTATTATTATCATAATCGTAATTATTATTTTGCTAACAGCCTAATTTCAGACAATTAATCTAATGAACCAATTGCATCACCTCCGTTTGCTTTCAGCTATATGTAGCTTGTCCTCTGTACCTAGACGGTTAGGGACCTCAATAGGTCACTCTTCCCTCTGTTATGTTATCCTAGGAATATTCTACATGAGCACAACCCATACCTAACTGAACCACCTTGTCTAGCTTCCCTTAACTACTGATGTTGTATCACTCATGTTGCAGTACTGTACTGCAACACACCGCCAAGGAACCTTTAATATACGATACCTATATGAGCAGTACTGGGGTGTTACACATTATTCATAGTTAAAGGTACAAGTCGTACCGAAATGTCTACTAAGATACTTCTCTCATAGGTGCATTTGATGAGTGTGTTACGTGTGGCATAGAGCATTGCAGGTGCTCCGAATAAGACACAGGTGGAAACAATCGCGCCTTTTTCTTCGCTTAGACGAGACTACTAACATAGTCCCTCTGCAGCATCACATGAACGTGCCAGATGTCATCATCCTCATCACACGGCAATTACATCCACAGTTGCTACAGGCCCTGTCGTCAGACTCAGGCCTCTCTGTCAAGCGTGCCGTCGGTCTTACAACTGAGGGTAAATAAGTTGTGATAGAAATGATAGCACCTTGACAGCCGCCTAAGATTAAAGTTGTCACATCGATATCATCTAACAAAAAAAAAAATGCCAGTTTCCGCCTGATGAGGAAGTTCATCAATCACTATGAAGAAATCTAACCGCAGCCTCAGTCACCTTCAATATTGTCACTGACTCCAAACGAGTGCAAGATTGTGCTATGCATGGTCGAGTGAATGTTCCCCCCCATAAATAGTTAGTTGAACCAAATATTGGTCTACACTGAGTCGAACTGTTTTGCCACAAACAACCACAGTGTTTGCAGTTCTTAAAAAAACAGGCCGGCTTATTAATTTTCTACTCCATAGTCTAGCTGACAGTTATACAGCTTTTATCACAGACTTACACGAGTTAAGAACAATATTAATAATATTTTTAAACCAAAGTTATGTTTTTTTTTTTTTTTTTATTTTTTTTTTATTATTTTTTTTTCCTTTCCTCACCTTGAACCAAGTAGCTGTCATCGGAACATCTTCGGCATGATAAACCGATATCCTTGCTAAGTCGGTCTTGGACTCGAGTTGTTTCGGGCCACCGGAGCCGGAGCACACTGCTCTCTTTGTGCAGCGAGAAATCATTACACTTTGTTGTTAGTTACGATCTACATGGTTAGGTCGACTAGGTTTAAACTAACCAGGACTATAACCCTCCTCCTACATTGGCCGCGAGGAAGTTGCCTACCGGTCCTCCGTGTCAACGCAAGTTTCACACCCCCTTAAAAATGGAGATAGTATCCAAAATCTGTTGTTGTCAACGTTTTGGCAATACAATTAATAGGAGCAAAAGATATTTAGTATGAAAACAATGTAGAAGAATAGAATTATTTTGTTTCCTCCCTTTTCTTGGATTTAATGACCATCGATTATATACTTTGGTCATATAGGCCAATGACTCCCTTTTAGTTCTTCTGATACATGGTCACCGGACGCTAGAAAGAGACAAGAGGAAATGAACATATATCTAATTGACTTTTAAGAAACAAATATATCAAAGAAGGTAAAGCGTTGACATAAATACTGTAGGTGTCAAATGAAACTGTATGATGTAGCTAGTTTTGTCCTTCATTATCAGAAATAATAGTCTCGAAAATGCGTAATAAGTAACAGCACGGAAGATTCCTTGATGAATAGAGGAGCAGAATGGCACGTTGGCAATAGGGTGTTGAGGTAGCTGAAAAGGAACCGCTAGTCAGTAGGGGTAGGACAGGGAAGATGTTGCAACATAAATACGAATATGCACGTTACGAGTTACATAAAATACATTTCCTTAATCAAGTCTGTCGCTCTGAAAGAGAGAATAATAAGTGACGATGTTTGGGTAATCTTCGTGGAGGATCGTGTTGCTGTGAGCCAAATGACGTTTCGTTCACAGATACGAAAGAGTGGGTAGGAGGGTCCTATACAGGACAGAATGTAAGAATGGGGGGGATGGTAAGGATACTGCTGCAAGAACACTGGTGGAAATTGCGTGTTGGTGTGGGTTTAATTCAAACCCCGTTTTTCTCCGTCTCTCGGGCTCTGTATGATCCATATGGCGAAAAGCACTTTCATGCAAATTTAATTGTATTATTAATAGGAAGAATGAAATGTCTGAGTTAGTCCTTTGTGCTGGGGGACAACCGTAGAGTTCGATCATTTACTTGGCTGAAGTTTTCCCTCTACTTCGAGAGTAGCAGAAGACTTGACGACCTATTTACACCCCTTGCCTGGAGACGCACCCACCGGGGAAACACTCACATGGACACCACCCCACCTGGGGACACCCAAATGAAAAGACACCCATTGGTTATGCACCCCCCTGGCGACACACCCACCAGGCAATGCCCCCATTGGAGATACATTCACAATGGACACACCCACTGGAGACACAACTACCAGGAACATACTAGGAGATGCTCTACATGGAGATATATCCACAACAGACACCTACCCGAAAAAAAACACCTCGAGACTCACCTGAGGAAAACACCCCACCTGAAAAACCATAAACCTAGGGTCACGCTCACCTAGTTTACATTCATCTTGAGACACAAGTGGGGAAACACTTGTAGTACACTCGCCTGGAGACAGGCACCTAGAGACATGCCTGGGGAAACAATAGCTCCTGTGGTCACACCTAGACACACACCCACGTCAAGGATACAACAGCATATAGACACACCTGAGCACACATGCACACACACAACACACACACACACACACAACAACACACCCCACACACACCACAACACACACACACACACACAAAACCACACACCACACCTTCGAACAAGCCTGGAGACAAACACACATGCTGCTGAAAATCAATCTAGAGGACACTTGCCTGTTTTGGCAACCTTTGGTCACCCCTTTTAGACTCCCAACTGTGGGAGTCCCATTTGTTAGACACCCACATACTGTATTCTACCTATTAGACACCCACTGTTTGACACTTACATGTTGAAAGAAAACGCATTTTTGAAATGGGTACTTTACAGCTATTAGTGAAGGACAGATGATTAAATATTGATTATCGTCTTCATCAATCGAATAGTTTATCAGAAAGTAAAAAATAATTGAAAAGTTGTTTTAAATTACCTAGGCTAAAGATATGACAAGTTTTATAAATGCAAATATTACAGTATTTCCATGCAAAATAGACGATGTGCTATTTGTATGCTTGCATATGATCCAGGGAACCGTACCATTCTCTGTCATGATAATAACTGATCTGCTCAACAGATGTCTCGTTGTTGGACAATGTTTACCTTGTGGAATGCCCTGTCTTGAATACCTGTTAGGAGATTAAATAGTTATAGTTCAGTGTTTTGTTAGGGATTTCGTGTTGCATAAGAGGAAGTTAGCTGATCTTTGAAATCTAAAGGTGACGGGATTTAAATACTTTTGATTAGTGTGCTTTATATAATATTTTTGCCTTTATTATATGAAATTTAGTTGAATATCTATGTAAGTTTAAAGAAGTTTTTTAGTTAAGCTGGACAAGCCCTGTTACAAATGCGCTTAAGAGTTTGTTCATTTTAATCTGAATTATTTTCATTTTGTTAAATTTAATTTCCACTGTTAAGTGTTGAATTCGCCACTTAAAATAAACCTTTAAATCTTCACAGATGAATATTCGTTTGACGTTGGTATTAATTGCTGCTGCACTGAAATAACGTATACCAGGTTTACTCAGTAGCGGTAACAGTTCCTAAACGTGGTAGACCTGTTCTTGAAACCCATATTCCTGAACTTGGTGACAATGAAGCGACCATGACCGCTGGTTCAGTGTTTACGTCACATCATCCTACGCCTGCAGCTGATCTCTTGAGGTAAGTCTCTCAATATGAAACTGTTTTCACCATCAAATTAAGACAGTTACTTTCAATTGAGGAAAATGGGAACGAAAACTAACGTTTACTCAATTAAATTTTCAGCCGGGAAGTGGCCTTTAGTGTGCAGAAAGTTACTAACACCTTCCACGCCGTCACTCGCGTTCATTTCAGGGTAAGATTTATTTTTTATTGCCCATTTCTTTCTGCGTTTACTGCTCATCAAGTAAAATAATCTTTCAACTGCTCCATATGTATTATCCAAAAAGGCTATATACAAACTATCGGTTATTTAGTTCAACTAAGTAAGTGTTAAGCGTATAAGTAATATTCGTAACTGTAATAACAATTTACTAGGCATTTTCACTCTCGTACAGGACGTTTTGACTAACATCGGTGGATGCTGGGACCCCATCACCAGTGAGTTCGTGGCTCCCTACAACGGTGGCTACTACTTCATATTTCATGTACTAGGCGCTAGGCACAGCGACTTCACGTGAGTCTATCAAAGTGCACTAACTAAAGACTGTTTTCAAAGATCATTCACAGATGAGGCGATTTCATTTTTTGTTAGTTCATAACACTTGCTACAACAAATGAATTTATAGTTTCCTGTATTATTACTTTCTCAGATGACATATTAAATTCGTGGGTTTTAGTTCTTCTATATTAGTAATTCCACGCAGAATGACTCTGATGAAAAATGGGGTGTATCAAGTAACTGCTTACGGCACAGAGAAGACCTTCGAAACTGCATCTAACTCTGCCTTCCTGGAGCTGCGTCGACTAGACAAGATCTGGCTGATGCTGCAGCAAGGCAGCATTGATGAACACCCTGGCAATGAAACCTACAACACATTTGCTGGCTTCCTTATGTTTCCCTTGTAAACTGTGTATTTCTGTGATAAACTATAAATGAGACAATACTTAAACTGAAGTGTATTTTTCGAACTTTGGGGGTTGAGTTAAGTATTTGTACGAAAATTTGGCATAACCAATTACTAGGGCTAAGCCCTAAAATGGGAAAGTTCTCCACTGTCCGACTCTTTGGTCCCTTACCTCTCAAGGGGTAGTTCCTTGACGCTGGTGAGGGGCTCTTGATCTAGGGAATTGGATCTGTTCCATTTCTCTGAACTGAGCCTGAATGCCTTCCATCCCCCCCATATGCGATGTATAATCCTACGGGTTTAGCGCTCCGCCATGAATATAATTATTATAATTTGGTTCCTTAAGTTCCTTGATGGTACATCTCTAGGCTAAGCGATGATGTCAGGTATGACTATCCATTAGCGATATTATCGACAATCATTATTTTTTGAACATTGTCGTTCTCCCCCCCTCCTATCAAGATCACGAGATTTGTATTTATCCTCTACCCTACAAACCCATAATGTTAGTGTCAGTCTCCTTTTTTTATAGCAATCATATTTTCTTCCCCCCCCCCCCAACCCAATCTGTTTCCACTCTGGATGGTGTTTTCCCTCTGCAGTCTTTGTTCTTGTTGGTGTTTGGATTTCTTATTCTGTGGGAAGTACCGCTCTGAGCGGCAATGGAAATCGATGTCCTTTGGATACAATAAGCATGTTATAAATAGTTGCATTTTTTTATTTTAAATCTGTTTGTCTTGTTGGAATTCACATCTTTTAATTCTTGTTGAGTGTCGCCAATGACTAAAGCTATTGAACCCATTTTTATTATACTGAAATAGATCGAACTTCCAAAATGGTCGTCAATGTCAAATTCAAGAGTAGGATTTGTTTTATATGGAAAATAATTCATTTTTATTCCCGTTAAATCACTTTCAGTAAATCTCGCTTCACCACTAGTATCTCTTAGGGCCAGGATAGTACCCAGAAAGTTTTAATTTGGTTTAGTAAAGATTACTTTAAACTGTTTGAATCAATAATAACTTGAATGACTCGTCTGATAAGTTTAAAGCTTTCAACTTTGATACGTTGTCCTGAACACACGGCTGCCACTGCTGTTAATTGGTAAAACAGATCGACACCATGCCTAACCCTTCTAGGGTAGGGTAGGTGCCTGAGCCCGAGCCTTTAGCTCATAAGACTGTCATTCCCATTAGCCCCCTTAGGGCGGGGATGGCAGACCAGAGAGGCCTAGCTTGTGGCTAGGCCTGGGGACAGTTGGTCCCAAAGATGAGGAGGTACTTGTGCCTCCTCCCATGGGAGACTTAGGTCTCAGACACTCCCTAAAGAGGGAGCCAAGGCCGGGCCACCACTTGGAAAAGGCCCGGGCTGGGAGAATACCGGCGAATATTTAATAATAATAATAATTGGTAAAAGTCTCAGTTTAAGAATTTTATTGAAGTGATTAATTTTCTAATTAAAAACAAAAGTAATGCTTCTGATTGGAGTCAGTATCTTATCATTCGTCTCTCACCCTGCGGGCTGAGAGGACGCTTTCTGAGCCTGCTCTTGCTTACACCTGGTGGCGAACCGTGTACTACAGTACGCAAGATGGCGGATCGTCAAGGTAGAAGAGTAAACACGGTCTGTGTGGAATTTATTTGTGGCTCTCTCAGTGGTGCAACGATGCATGTCTTGTTGCCTACCATCATTCGCGACGTCTATGGCATCCCCACTGAGGAATTATATGGTGTGGCTCTCAATGGGATGTCGAGGTTTTTTGTAAAATTCGCAAATGCCGGCTTTTACTCCAAGATTGTGGAAGCTTTTCAAGAGAGGAAAATGGCGGTGAATTCAGCCGTAGAGGTATGTCTGCATGACGTCTCCACATACGTCACCTGGGTCAAAGTAAGGAACGTGCCTTTCGAGGCGGAGGAGTATGTTATTCGGAAAGTTTTTGGTAAATACGGCACGGTACATGCAGCGACCAAGGAGTATGGAGGGAGGGCCCATACGAGGGGCTCCCGGAAGGCTCCTGCACCCTAAAGATGACATTAAAACAGCCGATTCCATCTTACGTTTATCTAGAGCACTATAGGACCCAAGTTTGTGTTCACTATGCGGGCCAACGTAAGACATGCAGGTTATGCAACTCGTATGACCATATGGCTGCTCAGTGCTCCAGACGCCTGGTTGTACGTATCCGGGAACCTTCTCCTGTGGTCCTAAGAACCGAGGCCTTTGATCTGGAGACTGGTCCCTCGCCTGAACAAGGACCTAAGCTTTGGAGTGAGGAAGTACAACAAGAGGAGATGCGGTCTATGGCGTGCGCCACCCTGTCGGTGGACACTACAAACGTGCCCACGCCACCTGTGGGGCCTACGGAGCCTGTGGGGTTGTCACAGGAAAGTTTGCTGGAGAACGTGCTAAACGATCTGGATGGGGCAGAGCATAGCCCAGACGTTTCACAGGAGAGTCAAGAAGTGGTGAAGGATGATTCGCCAAAGATGGGAGACCTGGACGTGCCTACAATGACACGGATGCATGAGGTGGTGGTGGAAGTTCACCAGGAGGCTTCGTCTGGTGAGATGTGTGTGGAAGTTGGTTCCCGCAAACGGACGGCAGGAGTGTCGGATATGGACGAGGTCCTGACAACGGGACAGCGTCCAGGGAAAAAATTATGGTCGAAAGTGGCTGAGGCACCTCCTGCAGACGGGGTTGGGGCAAGCGCCCAGCATGTGGGTAGGGCACGGGGGGGTGAGGGGGGCCTTGGGAAGACAAAGGTCAAAGAAGGTCAGTGTAATGTACATGTAGGAACGGGAAAGACCCACAAGCATAGAGGAAAACCTCCTTTTGAATTCAAGTGTGTAAACCATCAATTAAAGGGTCTGGGGGCAGAGTTTAAGTTTTGGGTGGATGGGTGGTTCTTCGCAGTTATGCGGGGACGTTGTTTATACAAAAACCCAAAATTATAATTTTGGGGAGAGTTAGGGTTTAAAAAGGGCTACCAATGTAGGGAAATTCTTTAAAAAAAAGGGGTGGGGTAGCTATAGCGGTGAAGGATCCACCCCTTGGCTGTTTAACCCTGTGGGTCTTTTTTCCTCAGACCGAACCTAATTACCCCCCATTCTCCCCCTCCCCCCCCCATCATCCCCCCATCCTCCCCTTTTTCCTTTCCCTCCTCCCCCCCTCCCCCCCCCTTTTGCCCTTCCCCCTTTTTTTACCTCGTGATTTCTCCCACAGGCGCGCTAGTTCCGTGGGGGAAAGGACACTGGGGTCCATCCCCCCCGTGAGGTTTCTTGGCGGTGGCTAGTTTGCCTTTAATCGGGATTGCCTGGGGTTTCCCCATCCCTCTCCGGACCCCGGGGTTTTTGGGGTGTCTTTTGGGCGCGGTGATCTCGGGAACCACCTTTGGATTCCGGGGGGGTGGCGAAGGGGGTTTTGTTTTGGGGCGGTTTCCCGGGCCCGCCCCCTTTTTTTGTCCACCGAGGTAGCTCGGAGATGTGGGGTTGCACCCCATTGCGGTTTACGGATAAGGGTGGGGTATGGCAGGGGGTTTCCCCATGCGCTCTGCGCTCTAGCGGGTCGGCCCCTTTTGGGGGCGCGGGGGGAGTTTTCTGGCCCTTTCTTTCCCTCCTAGGAAACTATCCCCCCCCGGGGTCCCCCTTTTTTTTTTCTTTTTTTTTTTTTATTTTCTTCTTTCTTTTTTTTTTTTAAAAACAAAAAGAAAGAAGAAACCTAACCAGGGCACCCCTAGTCCATGAACCGGTCCCCCCCGGGCCCCTTCTTGATCCCGCACCCCGTTCTGCCCCCCTCGTCTTTGGACCACTTTTCAGACATTCCCCCATCCCCTTGAACCTATCCCGGGTGCTGTTTCCTCACCCCTTCAGGTACTGAGGCCTCGACGACTCCTTCGATTTATCAGCCCTTTCCCCCCCCTTGACTATGTTTCCGGCCTCCCCCTTTAAAACGGTGCGGCAATTTTCAAATCGCCGACCCTTCCACGGGGACCAACTCTGGTCCCACGCCTAAACGAAACGACAATTCCCCGCTGATGATACTTCTCCCCTTCCCCTTTCTTTTCTTCTCAAAAACGACGACACGTCCTTCATACCTTCCATGCTCAGTTTCAGCTGAACGGGGACAAATTCTTCATTTTAAACGCCCAAATTTCCCTCTACTGCCTTCTTTTGACCATAATTTTGGGAAGGGCACTCCACCCATGTTGGTAAAGAATTTCTTTTCTGCTCTTAAAGCGGACGCGCATCATTACCGACAGAATGCTACCCGGGCTCGTGAGCTCTTCGCTTTCCCATATAGATACTGTTCCGTCAACCCTTGAAAAACTCATTCCCTAAATTCTTGGGGGGGGGGTACCGTTATTCTACCCCCTACCAATTTCAAAAAAAATTTTTCCAGAAGTCACCGACTTTCTGAACACTGGAACCCAAGATCTCCCAACCCTCAGGTAGACATTTACTTCTTCCCCCCTTGGGCGAGAGATACCCTACAATGGGCTCGTTTAATTTTTTGACACCCGGGGAATTTCCCCCCCCTTTAAATATGCGGGACTTTGGGTTACAAGTTCGAAAGGACCCTACACCACAAAGTGTAGAAATTGCTGGCTTTTTTGGCCATCCAGCGAAATTTTGCAGATCCTTCCCCGAGCCCGTCTGTGTCCCGATGACCATTCTAATCGTTTTGCAACGATCTCCCTCTTGCTTAACGCATGAGGCTCACCCTTCGTACCTCGCCTTTTCAGGCTTTTTAAACGGGGGGAAAAATCCGTTACCTCAAAGAGACAAAGGTCTCCCTTATGCCATGGCATTCTCATCTCCGCCCCCAAAGGGAGACCCCCACTGTTTCTTATTCCCGGTTTCAAAACGTCCCCCCACTTCGGGTACCCCATCTTCTACACCCCCCTCGTGGTTACCTCCCCCCAAATCACTCCTGTATCAAAATCCTTTTGTGTCCTCGGCTCGACGCCTACTCAACCCTCATCTAATCTCGCTTTTTCGAGTTTCTCTTACAACCCTCGTACGCGAGACCCGTACGACCCCTCTTCC